TATTAAAAAATAAGAAGAAGAGTATCAACAGCAACAACAAAAAAACAAAAACCTCTAAAGAAAAGTGCATAAAAATAAAATCAAGCACAGAGTCATCATTTTACTAAAGCTACAACAGAAAAAAGGCAGGCAGAGAGACAGAAGCAGCTCTTAAAGGGTGCAGATCTTATCATCGATAATATTGTAGGATTTGTCATGATTTTTATATGAAAAAGACTAGATTTACAAAAACACATCAACAGCGAATGGCAGCATAAGGTGTTTAAAAAAATTGTGTCATTAGGTAAATGGAAGTTATAAAAATGTTGTTTTTATGCAAAGGAATGGTTACAAAAGTAAAAGAAAATAATAAAAAAATACATCTTATAAAACAACAAAAAGAATAATGAAAAATATTTCTACCTTTTTAAACTTCAAGAATTAAAAATAAATTCAAGAAGAAAGTAAGATTTCTTTAGATATGATAACGAAAAAAGCTAAAAAGAAATGTTTTCTATTCAAAGAACATTCATTAAAGATTATAAAAAATATTTCTGAAGAAAAGAAACTTGAGACAAACTTGTATAGTGCATACATACACATACATTAAAGTTATGTAATTAATTTGCAAAAGTGTGTACCAGATTATTTTAATAACATAGAATCCAAATGATATAATAATTCGTGTAAAATTCCAACGTCATTTTCCGAAATAAGGTGTGTTTCAGAATTATAAGAACACTTTTTATTATAATATTTTTCATAAAAATGTTTAATAAATTATTTTGGAAACATGATCATCTTTGAACGTGCTTTTCATCGATGTGTAATTTGTCTCCATTTCTTTCGTAATTTCTAATATTTTTCAAATAACAAGTTTGCCTGTGTTTCAAAATTATAAAAACATTTCACTATTTTTTAAAAATTAAACATAATTTTAAAAAATTATTTGGTAATTCGGCCTCCCTTATATTTTAGAAGATTTAATATTCCAGAATTCACACTTTTACTAAAGTTTTTATTATATTTTGATCAATATTTGATGATTCCTGTGAAATTAGATTTTTTCGTAAATTAAGGCTTTCGTACAGTTGATTTCCCAAGTAAACTCGATTGGGTTGTATCCCCAAAAGACTTTCCGTGGACTTTACATCTAGTTAGCACTGCTGACCACTCTAAAGCAGGTGTATTTTTGGTGTTAAAACAGTTTTTGAAAAATCTAATGTTGGGTATAAAAGCATTTTCTTGCTGAAAATTTAGTTTTTTGTTGGACCTTGTGCCATAAAAAGCACAAAATTAATTTCTAGAGTTCTGACATAGGACGTGCTGTTAATTTTACATGAATGGGGTAGTAACCGCGGAACTTGCATAATTTTTAATTATTTTGAATTATTTATTTCTGAAGTTGTCCTCCACACAGTTATTTTAGGCACTGAAACGCCAATCTGAGCTCTTATATTTTTTAAACTCAAAGTTGAAATGTTCATTTTACGAATAATATGGGGTATTTCTCGCTGGGAAAGAGTTTTCTGTCATGCTGATCACTTGGTTTGTGCTTAATTATCACGATAAATAAAAAAATTAACAACTTTGTCAATCCTATCAAATTTCTGAGCAATTTGCCTAAATTTCAAAAGTTGGTCTTTTATGGCCGAAATTTTACCTTTTGCAGGGTCAGAATTAAAAAAATCTACATGGTACATCAAAGCCACAATTTTTTTCTTTATTTTAGGACCAATTATATCCAAGATTTTTGGCCTACTAAGTTGCATAATGGGTTTTTATTTATTTGGTTTTATAATTATGAAACATTAAAATAACGGAAAACTTCCAGAAATGCAACAACAAGAATCTCAAACTTATTTTTTTGTATATGTATAAATAGTAAATGTAAAAATGTATTATTTGTACAAATTTTTTGTAGATCCATTCAATACTTGAAGAGAAATTCGAAAATTATATTTGTTCTTATAATTTTAAAACACACCTTAGAAATGTTTATACTTTTTTCAAAAAGCCTTTTTTATTTATTCACACTTTAGTATTTTTGAAGATAATTTAACAATATTTGCTATATGATCTTCTAGTCTATAGTCTAGTCTATAGTCTAGTCTATAGTCTAGTCTATAGTCTAGTCTATAGTCTAGTCTATAGTCTAGTCTATAGTCTAGTCTATAGTCTAGTCTATAGTCTAGTCTATAGTCTAGTCTATAGTCTAGTCTATAGTCTAGTCTATAGTCTAGTCTATAGTCTAGTCTATAGTCTAGTCTATAGTCTAGTCTATAGTCTAGTCTATAGTCTAGTCTATAGTCTAGTCTATAGTCTAGTCTATAGTCTAGTCTATAGTCTAGTCTATAGTCTAGTCTATAGTCTAGTCTATAGTCTAGTCTATAGTCTAGTCTATAGTCTAGTCTATAGTCTAGTCTATAGTCTAGTCTATAGTCTAGTCTATAGTCTAGTCTATAGTCTAGTCTATAGTCTAGTCTATAGTCTAGTCTATAGTCTAGTCTATAGTCTAGTCTATCGTCTAGTCTATAGTCTAGTCTATAGTCTAGTCTATAGTCTAGTCTATAGTCTAGTCTATAGTCTAGTCTATAGTCTAGTCTATAGTCTAGTCTATAGTCTAGTCTATAGTCTAGTCTATAGTCTAGTCTATAGTCTAGTCTATAGTCTAGTCTATAGTCTAGTCTATAGTCTAGTCTATAGTCTAGTCTATAGTCTAGTCTATAGTCTAGTCTATAGTCTAGTCTATAGTCTTAGTCTATAGTCTAGTCTATTAGTCTAGTCTATAGTCTGTATATAGTCTGTCTATAGTTCTAGTCTATAGTCTATTCTATAGTCTGTCTATAGTCTAGTCTGTAGTCAGTCTATAGTTGTCTATAGTCTAGTCTATAGTCTAGTCGATAGTCTAGTTCTATAGTCTGTCTATCGTCTAGTCTATAGTCTATTCTATGGTCTAGTCTAGGTCTAGTCTATGTCTGTCTATAGTCAGTCTATAGTCTAGTTCTATAGTCTAGTTATGTTAGTCTATAGTCTAGTCTATAGTCTATGTCTATAGTCTAGTCTATAGGTCTAGTCATAGTCTAGTCATAGTCTAGTCTATAGTCTAGTCTAGTCTATAGTCGAGTCATAGTTTAGTCTATATCTAGTCTATAGTCTAATCTATCGTCCTAGTCTATAGTCTAGGTCTATAATCTCCTCCTAATAGTCTAGTCTATGGCCAAGTCTTTTTTGTTTTATAAACTTTTTATAAAATAAATAGTGGTTTATGAATATGGGAGAAAGTATTCTGTATTCAAAAAAATATTTGTCATAAATCTTAATCTCTGTATTCATAAACATTAAGTTTTAAAATAAATGGGAACATTAAATTTATTTTTAAACCAATACAATATCATACTCAAAATATACTTTTTGGTCTACAAAAGTTATATTTGTATAACAGTTTATGTATTTACGCTTTCCATACTGACTGCATTAGAATGTGTTTGATTTATGAGTTGTAGAAATTTGATGATCCAATAAGTTATAAAAATCAACAATAAAAAAAATCGATAGCACTTACTTGAAATCCTAAAATAGCAACAATGTTGCTGTCCTTTATGTACATTTTTTTGTTTTGCTTTTTATTCTCATGTTTACAGCCATCATTAGCCATCTGACATACAAAAATGACATTTTGACAATTAAGTATCTCAGTGCCAGAGTGCTTTCATTTCATTCCATTTTTTGAGGGTTTGGGTTACATCTGGTTCATGCACTAAAAATGAAAAAAGTGAGAAAAATACATTTATATCTTGTTGTCCATAAAAAATAGATTACTATAAAATGAGAAAATCCAGATATAAATATTGAATAGAATGACTTTATGGTACTAAAAGTTTTTCTGTGGCAAAAAAGGTGTTGAAATTAAAACAAAAAGAAAATACATAAAGTAACCTAAAATATTAAAGGGCGATTGTTATGGGCTCATTTATAAAGAACCCAGCAGATACTAATGTTAAATTTAAAACATTGAATAAACGGATAACAAAATATATTTCAGTTTAAATATTGTATATACATATGGATGTATTTAAATCTTTGTTTACTAGTTGGTTGAGAAAATTTAATAACAATTTAACAGTTTATTTTAAAAATTTTCAAATTGTTTTTCCAGTAAAATTGCAAATGCCTTATAAACGACCCATACAAAAAATATATGACAATTTTCAAATGACACGAGTAGTAAATGCAAAAACAGTCGTTTTCTTTTTATTGATTTTTTGGCATTTGTAAATTGAAAGACTTATAAGTATGGGAGTAGCTTCATTTCAATGCTTCACAATAAATACAAAATGTCCCCCGAGTATTTATTTTTCTATACAAATAGAAGATTGAAATGCGTTTCCGTTTGCTATTGTTGTTTGTGTTTTTCGCATTCATACAAACTTGCATAAATTGTATATACAGATGTCAGAGTGTGAGTATGTATGTATGTAAGTCTTTTATGCTGACACAATTATTGCTGACATTTAAGATTGTCAACACTTGTGCTGTCATCAGTTACGACTTTAATAACAAACACACAGATACGTATTCCAAGAGTATCTGTGTGTCTGTTTATTTGTATATTCTTCTTTCATTGTTGGTTTTTGTAAGAATCTATATTTGTGTAGTTATATAGGATGTGTGTTGGTGTATATTTTTGTTATCCTAGTTCTCTGAAATTCTATAGGGAGGGTGGGAGTCTCCTGTTTTAGTTTTACTTCAAAATTTAAAATTTTTTATTTGTGTTTTCAACTTTTTCTTTTTCATTTGTGCATCCGCTCCTTTCTTATGTACTCGTATTTACTTTATCAATATTGTTTTTTATTATTGTTTCTTAACTATTAAAAAGTTATATTTTGTTGTTAAATCGTCGTACTCATATTACTTTATTATTCTAGCATACATACATACATACATATGTGTGTACTTATGCATTTGTCTTATGGCAATGTTTGTTTATTCTCTTTTCTATTTTCTTCATATATTTCCAGGGAATTTCGTTTGGTGCTGCGTCAGGATCCCTTATCAGTATTCACCAGTGATGTACAAATAGAAACAAGTGATGGACCCATGGATTATGATATTACTAGAATATATACGGGGTCATTAGAAGGTAAGTCAAATATTTTGTTAAAACATTATTCTTAAGTAAAAATATCTAAAAGATTTTTTTCATTCAATAAATTTTATTGACACCAATTTTGATGAGAGAAGTAAGAAATATGTGTAGTTGTTAGAACTCCTTTTAATAGGGTTTAGGGTTTTAATATAACAGATTTATTGTTCATAACATTTTCATGTTAATCTAATTGAGTATGAGTTAGTCTTCAGTATTTACCAACAATTTTAATGTTTACCAATGCAGAATTTTCATATATTTCGGTAAAGATTTTTAAGTTTATATTTTATATGAAAAATCTGTCTCAATATCTACATATGTATGTATGTCCGTTTGAAATAATTGGTAAATTTTTTAAAACTTCAAGTTGCTATTATTGCGTGTATTTTAAGGATTTAAAAATCATACTAATTTGTTATAAAATTTTCAAAATCAATTTTTTTCAACTCAAGTACAAAATATGTAATTCTTGTTGTTTTGTAAAGAAGGAAAAAATTTATTACAATTTCATTGCCACTAACCCTACAAAATTTTCAACGAAATTTTTATTTTATGGTCGACAAACAAACAATTTGTATAAACGCATTTTTGTTTACATGCTGCCAAAAGTGAAAATAAAACTACAGAAGAAAAGCAGCAGAGTAAATTATTTTCAGTCTACTGAGGAGACATAAAAGACGCGTTTTATAGGTCTATTAAGCCCAAGGACTTGGTGATTGTTGTACTTCTTTTGTGGGTTTTTAGTACGATAAACAAACTTTGGTGTTTGTCTGTGTATATGAAATTTATATACATACACATACATATGTATATAGCAATTGTCCATATTGTTGTTGCTGTTGTTCTGAGTTAAAATGAAGGCCATGCCTGTAATAACCTAGACAATCAGAAACATAAGTACAACACATATGCACATGTACATATGTACAATAAGGTGTCCCCGCTTGTATGGAGAACATGACGTTTCACAAAATTTTATTCCTGGGGTCATAAATTCAGTCACAGGATAGAAAAGTCCTATTTAAGGTTTGATCCAGCTAACCAAATATTGACGTCAGCACAAAACTTTTTAGAAATAGTAGGTAATAAATAACTGTACTTTCACCTGCAATTTCCATTTTGGGGCCACCCTAATGTACATCCACATACATACATATATGGTCTTAAATATTATATTTAATATATCTACATATACATATGTATGTGTGATTATACGCTACACCACTATAGTGGGGAGCGTATAACGCATTTGAGCTGATGCTTGTAACACCCAAAAATATAGGTCTTACAACCATCTTAAAATATTCCAATCGGTTTTTTATGAGACTATTAAGCTATGTCCGTCTATCCGACTGTATGTCCATGTATACCTCGTACGCACTCTACAGGTCGCAATTTTGAAGATAATTTACCCAAAGACCAAGCCAATTGGAAGTAGCGAAAATTTCACCTAGCCCCCACGCACTTACCCCTTGAGCTAATAATTAGTTTTTCGTCAATAAATTGCTTCAATGTATCGGAACCAAGTTAAAATTCAACATAAATGCTTTATTATGGAAAATAAATCACATTTAATATTCATAATTGGTGTGGGGTATCATATGGTCGGTCACGCCCGACTATACTTTCTTACTTGTTTTGTATATGTATGTGCACATGTATGCCTGTTACATATATGCATAAAAATAAATATAAACATAAAATTAAATTAGTAGCAAATGTGTGTTATTAAATTGCCTAATTTTAGCTAAATTATAGTTAGAACAATAATAATATTGCAAACATTATATAAACATAATAAATAGCATATTTATAACATATTTGTAATTTATATTCGAATCATAACAAACACATCATTATACATATTTACACACTTATATAAAGTGTTCGAAATTTGTTAAATCTTGTTGCCTTATTAATATTATTAAATATTTCATACTGTCTTTAAACGTTTACAATAAACATACCTAGTATTTTTAGAAGTTCCTGTTCATATTTTTTCTTGATGAAAAGGCAAATATTCTTTAAATTAGTTTTTTATTCCATTTTTTGTCCTAAACATTCATTTGAACTTTTCGAATTCAATTTGCGAGGGCAGTACTCTTGCTTACGATAATTTTCAGTCAACGAATGCTTCAACCATTTAACCCTCTAAGACTTCTTTTTGAAGTGCTATCAGATCTGATATTTCACACCAATTTTCTGTTGATTGATGTCGTATACCATAAATAATAGCATCAATTTTACTTCCCATTAAAATACAAATTATTTCCTATTTTCCACCATACAACCCCAGAATTCCGGATACTTATCTTGATTACAGACTACAGAGTCAATTTTTATCAGTTTAATATTAAAATTGTGATAATGGACGGATAATACTTCTGCTATAACTATTGAAAACACTAGGTATTTAAAGTAAGATGAAATATACTTTAACTTAATTAAAATCTATAAACAAATTTATTTGCTTTGAGTTATAATATTTAAAATTAAATTTTTGTTTAAATTAAATTAATTAAATAAAATTTCAAATTACTTTACACTAACATTCTTTTAAATTTAAAAAACCTAAAATTCTTCACACACAATATTTTTAAAAACAATGTTTTGTTAGCAAAATAAAAACGAGTAAGAAAGTATAGTCGGGCGTGGCCGACCATATGATACCCTACACCAGTTATGAATATTAAATGTGATTTATTTTTCATAATAAAGCATTTATCTTCAATATTCCCTTGTTCCGATACATTTAAGCAATTTATGGATGAAAAACTAATTTTCTGAAAGAGGATTTATATGGGGGCTAGGGGCAAATATGGACCAAGCCCGATAAAATTTTTTGAATATATTTATATTTACATAATATTTTATTGTGCTGAATTTCATAGCGATATTTGTGTTTATAAGTTAATTTGGGACATTCAAGTAATTTTCTGAAGACGACTTTGTATGGGAGCTAGGGTCAAATGGGGCCCGATCTTTATGAAATTTGGCAGGGTCATCAAGACTTCCATAAAACTTAGTAGTGCCGTATTTTCTCGAAATATCTGTATATTTAACATAATTATGAGCTCAGAAGCCCTTTTCGGGGGGTTCTGTTCTATGGGGGCTAGGTGAAATAATGGACCGATTTTAACCATTTTCAATAGGCTTCATCCTTGGGTCAAATAAAACGTGCGTGCCAATTATCTTGAAAATTGCGACCTGTACCTTGCGCATAATCGACTCAGAAAACGATTCTAAGCCGATTGGTATACTTTAAGGTGGGTCTAATATTTTTGTATGTTACAAACATCAGCACAAATCCAATGTACCCTCCCCACTAATGTGGTGTAGGGTATAAATATATCAAATACTGAAAGAATGTATTCTAAACCTAAAAAGCTTTAATTAATTCATTGAAGCTACTTTGAAATAAATTTGAATAAATTATACTTGTATTATAAATGCGGCTTTTTTTAAAGAAAAGCAGATAATTAAATGTTTAATTTAAAAAATCCAGCAACTACTACAATTTCATGTAGTGCTACTTAAAAGTAAAAAAATATAAATAGGTCAACTTATTCCACAACAGCAACCACCACCATTTTGGTTAGTTCATTTTAAACTCGCTGCTGCCTGCTTTTCTCTTAATCCTTAAAGGAAACATTAAGATATTTTTTCGCTTAATACGTTCCTGAGACTATTTATTACCCAATTTTATAACAATTTTCTACAATCTACTTCGTGTCATCTCTTTCTTTCCTTCTTCCTAACTAGTATTATTTGTTCTTTATGCATGTGGCTGAATGCCCTCAAACAACCTTTTCGTTCTTTTTTTTTGTACTATCCACAACTAACTATGAGGTAAGTTTCAAATAAAAACTTGTAAAATTGTTGTAACTAATGCTGACATAAAATAACAGCAGGATTTTTAGTGAATAAACTTCATACTCATACTCGCGTGCACTTACACGACACACAAAGGCATTCCAGGATAAAGAGATGGTAAGAGTGAGACCAAACTAATCTTCGATATAACTACTCCATAATGCAGCAATATCAATGGCAAGAATAGTAGCAAAGACACCATACCACTGCCACTGCCAGAGGCATCAGCAGGAGCTTGTAACAGCGACATTTCATACCACATATTTTACGTAAAAGGAAAATAAGGTTGATGTTTAAATAAGAATGTGAATGTGAATTGAGGAGAAGAGTTGTATGTCGTAGTTTAAGTGATGGTGACATGATATAAATACAATCTCTTTGTACAACAACTAAAAACTAAGGCAGATTGTGCTGCCTCTGCTATCCCATGTTGTATTAGAGTTAGAAAAATAAGAAAATAAATAAAGAAAACTCCAAAACTTTGCCTTCATGCTGCTAGGTGGCTAACATCAGATAAACAAAGAATGAATTCTTTTTTTAAATTTCAATTAATTATGAGCAAATAACGATGTATTAAAAGAATATGTTGTTTTACCATAGAAATAAGCTAGGCATAGGCTTCTTTACTAATGGTCTGAATTCATGTTTGAACTAAAATCTAATTCCTTTATAACTCTGCCTTAGAAAAGTTTACCAAATAAAACTTCTTTGCCGCACACACAGCTGGATAAAAAAAATATTGCTTCAGGTTTTCACTTGGATACCAAAGAGAGTTACAAAACGTCAACTAAATAGTTAAAGATTTTATAAAGTTACCTCAATTTTTTTTGTTTTTTACGTTGTCTCTTAACTATTCCATAAAATAATAATAGAATAAACAAAATGGATTATGGACAATTTTTTTATCTTTCGTACTCTTGTAGTCGATTATGTGAAAAGAAAAAATAAGGAAACTAAATTTAAGTTTCTTAGATAATAAAGGTTGTAGTACTAAATAAATTTAGTTTATTATGTTAAAGGTTTAAAGTGGCATGGTCACACAACAAATTTATATCATCAAACTAGAAGTCATAATTGTTTTCAAAAAGAAAAATAAAGATATATTTTGTGGTTAAAAGATT